GTGTGTGTGTGTGTGTGTGTGTGTGTGTGTGTGTGTGTGTGTGTGTGTGTGTATAAAAAATAGAGGCGAGAGGTCTAATAAAGGAGGGGGAATCCAGAAACCAAAAATGAAAACCTGATTTGTTTCATTTGGGGGGCGGATGAATTAAAAAAAATCAGCATTTTAAGTTGAAGCAAAACAAAAATATGGCTTGTTTCAAATGGCAATTCAAAATTAAATGAAGCTTTTGTTTTGAAATTTCCTGAAGGAAAAATCAAAATTTTTCATTTAAATTACAGTTTGCCTGGAAAAAAATCTTTTCAATTAAACTTTATTTGTCAGCAGGAAAATTTTCCACATGAATATTTCCCACCAGTTGCACTAATAACTTTGTTGTTTTTTACTATTACAATACCTAACAAAACAAATACACCATGGCTTTAGACCTCTGGTCATAAGGGAACTGTCCCATGTCTAGATTGGTGAATAAGGGTCTGATTCAAATCCCACTGAAGTCAATGAGAATCCTTCCATTGACTTCAAAGCAGTTTGGAACAGATTCTAAATTTACAGCACTGAGTGTTTCCCTCACTTTTACATACTCATTGCATTTCCTATTAGTAATGATACACAGCAAGCAATGCATTTCCCAGGGGATTGTTTTACTTCCAGAGAAATTAAAATTCACCCTGTTTTTTGGACTCCTCTTATAATACCACCTGAACCATCATGTTATCACTCAGAAGCATATTGCCCTTCGTGTTGTTTTTGCTTATACATCGTTTGATACCAGTCTAGTAACATGGGAGATTGAATAGTTACACAGATTTTCCACTTGCAGCATGTAACATAATTGGCTGTACACTGAGAAACAGCTCCTTAACAGCAGAGCCTATTGTTATAGCCATATAGCATGCATGTGATCGGGAAAAATACAGATTTGGGGGTAGGATTTTGGCAAAATTAGCACCTTCTTCCTAGAGCTGTAGCATTGCTTTGAGGAGTTGAGCGGCATGAGACATATTCTGTTTATCTCTTCACTTGATCAATGGCTACTTGGATGGATGGAGAAAGTCTTAATAAAATGCTAACTATGTTATTAAGGAGAACTGCCTGAACTGACCTAGGGGCAGGTTTAACTATTGTTTATATAGTACTCAGAGTGTTTGTGGTGGTCAAGGTCTGATGTAATGAGCTGCGGAAAGGCAGACCTTTTATATAGATCAGCTGGGCTTGGTAAGGTAACAAGCCCCAGCTGCTTTTGCTCACCAGTCATGCACCATTTCTCTGTCGGGTTCCACACCAATACAGATCTGACAGGGACAATGGAGGTTAGAGCCTGGGCTCTTGCCGGACATGCCCTGCATGGGGCCTTACAGGTTGGGTGTCACACGGACAAATAAGGAAACAAAGTGTTAGTGTTAACCGGAGTCACTTACATTCAAACCCAGAAAAAATCCCTCGAGCTGCACAGTCTTTTTAACGGATGCCTTTTCTTTTAGTGCTTGTGAATGGTGCTCGACTGATGGCCATGGAGACTGACAGTCTCTGTTACCCACAGGGCTGATAGCTATGGGCAGAGGCACTGCAGGTTTCCCCACAATGTCCACTCCATGTTTCAACCTGAACAGGAGGGGCCACCTGTACAGGTGCGAGTCTAGCTCAGTCCCTGTATCTATTTAGTCAATGGCCTCACTGCGGAGACAGTCAACAAGGGGGCCCTTTAGTGCTGACTGTAGAAATGATTGGGCAATGTAAATATTTATCCAAAGGGAACTGGCCTAACACCAACTACCCAGCTCATAATACATAGGTCTAACAATGGCCCCATTTCTCTTCTCCCATTTACCGCTAAACCAACTGAATGTGCCATTTACACCATTGCCCTGAGTTCCTCTCTTTCAGCTCCAACCGAAACCCATTCAGTCTGGTTTCATCATCTCCATTCCACTCTGAAAGTTAAGAGCTTTGCATCAGAAGCTGCCCCAGATCCTCACAGCAATATTTGACATCTCAATAATGGAACCACTTTGTATTCACAGGGCTGAGATTAAATGCTCAGTTACCTTAATCATTAACACAGCTATAGAGTCCAGGGTTTTTTGGATACCGATGACCATTGTCAACATTCTTGTGTCTGGCTCATTTATTCATGTTTTACTTAGAAGTGTTCTGACTTTGTCAGTTTTGTGAGGCCTACTGACTCTTCCATCGTCATGCACCAGCTGAGAAGGTGACACTCCTGTAGTTACATATTAGGCAGCCATGCTTTTTTTGTCCATTGTTCTCTGCTATACATACCATAGGTAGGACTATAGTACTTACACAGAGCTCTCACCACCACACAAGTAGTGCTAGTTTGCCCAAGTAAATGCACTATTACCAAGGACTTTTTGGAAGTTAGTAGTTATTCTGGATTTACACCAGTGCAGGAGATTGGAATTTGATCCAGTCCCCTGAGTAGTATCATTAAATATTGCATCTACATTTGTTTTAATAAGCATAACGTACTATACGCTGTAGGAAGGTTGAGACCAAGTCAGAGCGCCTTTGTCTTCACAGCTAGCCCTTTCCACGTTACATTTCAGTTGGAAGTAGCAACCAATAGAATAGCTCTTCATGTTACCAGTAACACCACATTGTGCTCATAGAAGTTTTAATCTTCAATGCAATTAACTCCAACAAGACTCTGCTGAGCTAAGAAGGCATTATGATCCCCATTTTACAGATGGGGGAACTGAGGCTGAGAGGTTAAAGTTGCAAAGGGCCAGAGGGCGTCTGTGGCAGTGTCAGGATCAGAACTCATAAGTTCGTGATTGTCAATCCTGAGCTCATGCCATAGCTCCCACTAAGATGTTGCCATTCTTTATTTAGGACTGCCTCGTCTGCTTCTGTCACCACCTATCTTCTCTGCCCCATTGACCTCTACTCTGTACAATGAATAAATACAGTGAGCCATTTGGACAATTAATTGCCATTCCCAAGGATTGGATTGCACTCCAGATTCTGGACTGATGTCAAACAGTAGCACAGGTCAAGGATTTTTCCTGTGGCCTGATCCCACAAGCACTCCAAACACAGAAGTCCCATTGATTCCTTTGGGAGTTCTATGCATGGAAGGCTTGCAGGGTCAGGCTTTTACAATGTCCATAACTCCTGATAGTTTATTATCACTTCTTTCTAGGTAACCATAACCACAATTCACCAGCATCATAGAGCCTGCTCCAGTTTCCTGAAAGGTCAGTCAGATCTGAATGTGCAATGTTTTGAATTGGGGGGAGGGGGGAAGAGAGGTTACTTACCTTGTACAGGAATTGGAACTCTTTGAGATGCTCAACTCCTCTGGGTGCGCCACTTCAGGTGTGCATGTGCCCTTGTGCCTCCAATCAGAGATTTTCAGCAGCAGTGCCCGTTAGGTCCACACATTCGCCCTAGCTATCCTCGTGCCCATACTGAGAGTATATAGGGCTTCAACAGACAAATCACCCTTGATTCCTGCTATACCACACAGATAAGCCTGTGAAGCAGCGGGGGGAAATGGGAGGTGCTGCTGGAGATCCCATAAGAACAAACATCTCAAAGAACTCCAGTTACTGTACAAGGAAAATAACCTCTCCTTCTTCAAGTAATATCCTTATGGGTTCTCCAGGGGACTCCCAATCAGTATTCCTCACCGGAGGAGAGGGCTTCAGAGTAGGATCTGAAACTGACTGCAGAACAGCAGACCCAATGCAGCATTCACTCGGAATATATGCACCAAAGCATAGTGTCTTGAGAATGTGTGGCTGGAAGCCAATGTGGGGGCTTTGCAGATTTCTGATATAGGTGCCCACCAGTAGGGCAACAGAGGTGGACTGAGAGCTGGTGGAATGATCTATTAACTTTTGCATGTCATGGGACATCACCAGCTTCATAGCAGGAGAGGGTACAACTGCAAACCCATTTGGAAAGTTTCTGGATGGGCACAGGTGTGAATTTAACTCTGTCCACAATGGAAACAACTCATTGAG